CCTAATAGCTTTGCATCTTCAAATTTCTTAAAATTAGAATTATTTTGATTTTTTACTTTAATTAATTTTTTGACTTCTTTTTCAAGATCACGTGTTTTTTTATTTTGAAGTTGTTTATCAGCTTTTCTATGTTTGTCGGCTACTTTTTCAAGATCACGAAATTCTTTATCTTTGATACGTTTTTCAGCTTTTCTATGTCTCTCGGCTTCTTTTTCACGATCACGTGATTCTTTATCTTTGAGACGTTTATCAGCTTTTCTTTGTTTGTCGGCTTCTTTTTCACGATCACGTGATTCTTTATCTTTTAGACGTTTATCAGCTTTTCTTTGTTTGTCGGCTTCTTTTTCACGATCACGTGATTCTTTATCTTTGAGACGTTTATCAGCTTTTCTTTGTTTGTCGGCTTCTTTTTCACGATCACGTGATTCTTTATCTTTAAGTCTTTTATCAGCTATTCTCTGTCTATCAGCAGATTTTTTTCGCTTTTTCGAATCTAAGTAATCTTCGTTTTCAGAATCAGACATGATTTTGAATCTACTAAAATATTTATTTGTAATTAACTTTAAATATTTTAATATAAAATAAATATATTATGTATAAGAAAAAGTCAAAATAACTTTATAGATAATATTAAATGTTAATATTAATATTGACGCAACGTTAAATAGAGACGCAATATTAATGTTGACGCAATATTAATGTAAACCCACTATAAATTAGTGACACAATATTATTATTTGCGCAATAATTAATAAACAAATAAATAAACCAAATAGCAGATAATAATTATTTTAAATATAATATTAATTATTAACACTAATAATAAAATAAGCTTTACTTACATGTTTTCTCTTTGACGGCTCAACTCGAACTGAGACTTGAAATAATAATTTCACTTTATTTATAATATTTATTGTTGATGCAATATTAAACAATAATCCAATATTAATGTTGACGCAATATTAATGTTGACGCAATATTAATGTTGACGCAATATTAATGTTGACACATCAGTTTAATGAAATACAAATAAAAGTAATTTTTAATAATTATTTTAAATATAATATTAATTATTAAGTGTAATAATAAAATAAGTAAGACTTACATGTTGTCTCTTTGACGGCTCAACTCAAAATGAGACTTGAAATAATAATTTCACTTTATTTATAATAATATTGAATGTTGATGCAATATTAAACAATGATCCAATATTAATGTTGACGCAATATTAATGTTGATGCAATATTAATGTTGACAATATTAATGTTGACAATATTAATGTTGACACTTATCAATTTAATGAAATAACAAATAAAAGTAATTTTTAATAATTATTTTAAATATAATATTAATTATTAACTGTAATATTAAAATAAGTAAGACTTACATGTTGTCTCTTTGACGGCTCAACTCGAAATGAGACGAAATAATAATTTCACTTTATTTATAATAATATTGATTGTTGATTCAATATTATACAATGATCCAATATTAATGTTGACGCAATATTAATGTTGACACTATTATCAGTTTAATGAAATAACAAATAAAAGTAATTTTTAATAATTATTTTAAATATAATATTAATTATTAAGTGTAATAATAAAATAAGTAAGACTTACATGTTGTCTCTTTGACGGCTCAACTCGAAATGAGACTTGAAATAATAATTTCACTTTATTTATAATAATATTGAATGTTGATTCAATATTATACAATGATCCAATATTAATGTTGACGCAATATTAATGTTGACGCAATATTAATGTTGATGCAATATTAATGTTGACACTATTATCAGTTTAGTGAAATAACAAATAAAAGTAATTTTTAATAATTATTTTAAATATAATATTAATTATTAAGTGTAATAATAAAATAAGTAAGACTTACATGTTGTCTCTTTGACGGCTCAACTCGAAATGAGACTTGAAATAATAATTTCACTTTATTTATAATAATATTGAATGTTGATTCAATATTATACAATGATCCAATATTAATGTTGACGCAATATTAATGTTGACGCAATATTAATGTTGATGCAATATTAATGTTGACACTATTATCAGTTTAGTGAAATAACAAATAAAAGTAATTTTTAATAATTATTTTAAATATAATATTAATTATTAAGTGTAATAATAAAATAAGTAAGACTTACATGTTGTCTCTTTGACGGCTCAACTCGAAATGAGACTTGAAATAATAATTTCACTTTATTTATAATAATATTGAATGTTGATTCAATATTAAACAATGATCCAATATTAATGTAGACGCAATATTAATGTTGACGCAATATTAATGTTGACGCAATTATTAGTTTAATGAAATAAATAAAATTAATTTTTAATAATTATTTTAAATATAATATTAATTATTAAGTGTAATAATAAAATAAGTAAGACTTACATGTTGTCTCTTTGACGGCTCAACTCGAAATGAGACTTGAAATAGTAATTTCACTTTATTTATAAAAATATGGAATGTTGATGCAATATTAAACAATGATCCAATATTAATGTAGACGCAATATTAATGTTGACGCAATATTAATGTTGACGCAATATTAATGTTGATGCAATATTAATGTTGACACTATTATCAGTTTAGTGAAATAACAAATAAAAGTAATTTTTAATAATTATTTTAAATATAATATTAATTATTAAGTGTAATAATAAAATAAGTAAGACTTACATGTTGTCTCTTTGACGGCTCAACTCGAAATGAGACTTGAAATAATAATCTCTTTATTTATAATATTAAATGTTGACACAATATTAATGTTGACGCAATATTAATGTTGACGCAATATTAATGTTGATGCAATATTAATGTTGACACTATTATCAGTTTAATGAAATAACAAATAAAAGTAATTTTTAATAATTATTTTAAATATAATATTAATTATTATTGAAATAATAAAATAAGTAAGACTTACATGTTGTCTCTTTGACGGCTCAACTCGAAATGAGACTTGAAATAATAATTTCTCTTTATTTATAATATTAAATGTTGACGCAATATTAAATGTTGACACAATATTAAATGTTGACACAATATTAAATGTTGACGCAATATTAAATGTTGACGCAATATTAAATGTTGACAAAATATTAAATAATTACGCAATATTAAATGTTGACGCAATATTAAATGTTGACGCAATATTAAATAATGACGCAATATTAAATAATGACGCAATATTAAATAGTGACGCAATAATAATGTTGCTTCAATATTAAATAATGACGCAATATTAAATGTTGATGCAATATTAATGTTGACACTATTATCAGTTTAATGAAATAACAAATAAAAGTAATTTTTAATAATTATTTTAAATATAATATTAATTATTATTGAAATAATAAAATAAGTAAGACTTACATGTTGTCTCTTTGACGGCTCAACTCGAAATGAGACTTGAAATAATAATTTCTCTTTATTTATAATATTAAATGTTGACGCAATATTAAATGTTGACACAATATTAAATGTTGACACAATATTAAATGTTGACGCAATATTAAATGTTGACGCAATATTAAATGTTGACAAAATATTAAATAATTACGCAATATTAAATGTTGACGCAATATTAAATGTTGACGCAATATTAAATAATGACGCAATATTAAATAATGACGCAATATTAAATAGTGACGCAATAATAATGTTGCTTCAATATTAAATAATGACGCAATATTAAATGTTGACGCAATATTAAATGTTGACGCAATATTAAATAGTGACGCAATAATAATGTTGCTTCAATATTAAATAATGACGCAATATTAAATAATGACGCAATATTAAATAGTGACGCAATATTAAATAGTGACGCAATATTAAATATTGACGCAATATTAATGTTGACTCAATATTAAATAATGACGCAATATTAAATAATGACGCAATATTAAATAGTGACGCAATAATAATGTTGACTCAATATTAAATAATGACGCAATATTAAATGTTGAAGCAATATTAAATGTTGACGCAATATTAAATAGTGACGCAATAATAATGTTGCTTCAATATTAAATAATGACGCAATATTAAATAATGACGCAATATTAAATAGTGACGCAATATTAAATAGTGACGCAATATTAAATAGTGACGCAATATTAAATAGTGACGCAATAATAATGACTCAATATTAAATAGTGATGCAATATTAAATGTAACGCAATATTAAATGTTGATGCAATATTAAATGTTGACGCAATATTAAATAGTGACGCAATAATAATGTTGATTCAATATTAAATAATGACGCAATATTAAATAATGACGCAATATTAAATGTTGATGCAATATTAAATAATGACGCAATATTAAATAGTGATGCAATATTAAATAATGACTCAATATTAAATAGTGACGCAATATTAAATAGTGACGCAATATTAAATGTTGACGCAATATTTTTATACAATATGCTCAGTTTATTATATAAGTCAATATTTGTATCTAAAACAGTAAAAATAAAGGTGATTTCATGAAAATATTTCTCAAATCCGCCATTTTTTCTGTTCCCGAAGAGATATCAAAATTTTAATGCATATTTCTTATGCTTGTTTTTGATGCTTTATACAAATCTATACCTAAAAAAAAATTCTTAAAAATTTCTTAATTTTGGCCGCCATTTTTTTTATGTTCCCGAAGAGATATCAAAATTTTGATGCAACTTTTCAATACATTATTAGTAGTCCTCTAACCGAATCTGAAATCAGAATTTCAAAATTCGCAAAAAAAATGCTACAGACAGACAGACAGACAGACTCAAAAAGCCATTATAGATTTCAGTAAACAAAACTTTTCAAGTTTTTTTTGAAAAAATTTTAATTTATAGTTCACACAAACATTACTTACATGTATATGATATATACAACCAAAACAAACAAAACAAATTTAAATACTAAAAAAAATAAAATAAATTTTTTTCAAAAAATTTATTAATATATTTATATGACTACTAGACTTTCCAGCCTATAATGCAGTGGTCGGCGGTATGGTAGCCCTACCGTGCAATGTAACCCCACCTACCTATGATGACGGTGTATCGCTGGTACTATGGTACAGGGATGATACGGGTAATCCGATTTATACGGTGGATGCCCGTTCGACACATTTGGATAGTGCCAAACATTTTGCCAGTGCCGACATACTCGGCCAGAGAGGTGTCTTCAATATAACATATCCGATGGCTTATATGCGGATCAGTCCGGTTATGGGCGCCGATGGCGGCGAGTATAGGTGTCGAGTGGACTTCCGTCGGGCCCGGACTGTCAACCGGATACTTAAGCTCAATGTTATTGGTTTGTAAACATTTTTTTTATATTTAATAATTTAATTAGTGGGAATTTAGTTGGGAATTTAGTTGGGAATTTAGTTGGGAATTTAGTTGGGAATTTAGTTGGGAATTTAGTGGGAATTTAGTGGGAATTTAATACAGATATGATATATGAACCAAAAAAAATAAAAATATTATTACCAAATGTGTTATCAATTATTTGGGTTAAAAAAATCTAAACGATTTAATATATTACATAATAATCCCTAAATAACTATATATATATATATAAATTAATATATCAATCAATATATGCTATATTATAATAATGATATATATATATAACAAAATTAACCAAACATTATATACAGTAATATAGAAAGATATAACTTATATATTATATATAAATGAGATATAAAACTAAAAAAATAACATTAAAGGCGTGTTTCATATACTGTATAAACAGTATTATATAAATTATATATATATATAATAAATTCATTCATAATTTTTATTATATATATATAAAAATAGTAGTGTATATTGTAGTGATTGTTATAAATAAAATAAATAGCAAAAATAACATTAATAACAATAATAATATAATGTGCAACCAATACAAACACACACACACATATAATAAAAAAACATTTCAATACATAAATCAATGATGAAAATACTAAAAATACTTGAAAAATTATAGTTCATTATAATATATAATATATATATATATATATATATATATATATATATAGAAAATAAACTAAATGTCGTAAACTGTATGCGAAAAATTATTATACAATATATATTATAATAAAATATATTACACCTCTTTATATAATATGGATCAGTGATGCTGTCATAACCAGTCATATATATATATATATATATATATATAGGATATATATATATATAGTTTGGATAGCCTAGTGTTGTGTTGTGTTTTTGGCTAAACATCTAATAATAATAATAATAATAAACGGCTTCTGATCTGATAAACGATAACCAAAAAAAAAAATTATTAATGATATAAAACTGATTATCTGGATATAAAATATTCAAACCAGTCATATATAATATATAATTTATAATAAACAGTATATATATTATATAAGTTATAGTTTAGTGTATACTTATAATAAATATCTGAACCTATATATATATATACGGTATATATATATACTGTATATAGTTTTAATCTTAATATATATATATATATATATATATATATATATATATATATATATATGTGTAATATATGTGTGCAAAAGTGATTTATCTAATTTGATATATAATCATATCATTTATGGGGCTATATCGTAAATATTTTGTTTGTTTATGTATTTAATTATTAATCACATTATATATATATATATCGTTAGATACTATAATTATCATTTTTTTGGACTAATTTTCATCAAATAAATGTTTTAAAAAAAAAATTAAAAGGAAAAAAATAACTAAATATTAATGTTTAGTATTAACTGATAAAAACTAATGTATATTACAGTAAGTTTTTATTATTATTATTATGTTATAATTATTGTAACATTTTTATTATTAAGGTTTTATATTTATTTTATTTTTTTTAATAAATACAGTATTAATAATAATAATAAAAGTTGAAATTTTTTAGTGTTTTCAATATTATTATAAACATATAATTTGAATAAATAAATGATTAAATGCTAATCATATATACTGTATATTCATCACCAAAAAAAAAATTCATACATTAATAATATTAGGACTCAACTACTAAATAATAACAACAAAATAAAACTGTCCCTAAATTTATGTTTTTTTGATTAATGTTTTTTATTTTTCTCTCTCTCTCTTAATATTATATACGATATTAAGAGGATATTAGGGGCTATTTATGAGGTCTATCATCAGTCAAATCAATTTGATTTTCATATTATAATCAATCATTTAAATAATCAAATTTCATACACATATATATTATATGCATATATATATTACAACCAAAAAAAAAATATATCATTTTTTTATAATTTGTTAAAATAAAAACCAAAATTTTATATACAAATTATGTTAATAATTGTGTTTTGTTTTTGCATTATGTATACCTACCAGTGCCTGTATCTAAAGTGGTCATCTACGATGACAGCGGCAACCGTATCAACGACATTGCCGGCCCATTCAACGAGGACTCGTCGGTCAATTTGACCTGTGATTCGGAAGGAGGTATAGATTCAACAACAAAAAAAATCATTGCTAACCCAACCATCCCCTCCCTAACCTCTCTCTCTCTCTCTCTCTCTCTCTCTCTCTATCTATCTATCTCTATATCTATCTATCTCTCTATATATATATATCTCTACCTCTATCTCTCTCTATCTCTCTCTCTCTATCTCTCTCTCTTTCTATCTCTCTATCTCTCTTTCTATCTCTCTCTCTCTCTCTATCCATCCATCCATCCATCCATCCATCCATCCATCCATCCATCCATCCATCCATCCATCCATCCATCCATCCATCCATCCATCCATCCATCCATCCATCCATCCATCCATCCATCCATCCATCCATCCATCCATCCATCCATCCATCCATCCATCCATCCATCCATCCATCCATCCATCCATCCATCCATCCATCCATCCATCCATCCATCCATCCATCCATCCATCCATCCATCCATCCATCCATCCATCCATCCATCCATCCATCCATCCATCCATCCATCCATCCATCCATCCATCCATCCATCCATCCATCCATCCATCCATCCATCCATCCATCCATCCATCCATCTCTCTCTCTCTCTCTCTCTCTCTCTCTCTCTCTCTCTCTATCTCTCTCTCTCTCTCTCTCTCTCTCTCTCTCTCTCTCTGTCTCTCTGTCTATATATATATATATCTTTTTATCTATTATATAGGAAACCCTCCGCCGGCGGTCAAATGGTGGCGCGGTTCAGCCTTAACAGATGATACCTATTTTACGACACCAAAAGGATTGATTAGAAATGTGATACATATGCCAACCCTTAGGAGGGACGACCTGATGACAGTACTCACTTGTCAGGCGTCCAATACCAATCTGACAGTGCCTGCATCCCAGACCATTGCCATTGATCTTAATTGTTAGTCATATAGAGTTTGTCTATTAATAATTATTTAAATAATATTAAAAAAAAATACTTTACATCTATTTCATTAGTAGTTTAAATTAATATATATATATATATATATATATATATATATATAGTAAAACTTATTATTGTTTGATAATAATAATAATAAATAGCAATTAATTATCTATATATTGCATTAGTTAATGATATGTGTGTATATCTCTAGTGGTTTGAAATGCTTTTAATCGATTTTTTAGTCGAAAGTTAAATGATTAATATATATATATATTTATATACAGTATATATATATATATATATAGTATTTACAGATTATACTGTGTATATATATATATATATAATATAAGATAATCTAACCATCACTTTAACTATCTATCTATCTATCTGTCTATACCTACCCCTAAACCCCTAAATCCCTAAACCCTCAAACCGTTAACAGTAAAGCCAAAAGAGGTCAGAATTATAACACCCGAACACAATATGTCGGCCGGCGATCGGGTAGAGTTGGTCTGCCAGTCATCGGGCAGCCGACCAGCGGCTAAGATTCATTGGCGTAAAGGATCGCAACGTATGGACAGTAGCGGCGAAAGTACATCCGATGACGGCTCAGTTACCACTAATTTTCTAGCATTTGTGCCCACCATCGATGATAATGGCAAACAACTGGCCTGTACTGTCACTAATCAAAAGTTTCCCGATTTTCAACTACAAAATAATTGGACATTAAATGTCTTATGTATGTCATTATTATTATATTATATTTTTTTGATTACAATTAATTAATTAATTAATTAATTAAATATTTTTAAAAAATAATTAATATTAGAAAATAGTTATTTAATATTCATATATAATTTTGATGGATTTTTTTTTAGCTAATTGTATGATTAAGTGCATGTTTTTATTTTGAATACACTTATTGTGTGAAATATATAATATTATATGTTATATATAATATAATATAATCAAATACTTGAAACTAGTTTAGTATTATTAGATTATATTAATATATAATATTTTATTAATAAACAAAAATAATTGAATTTTCTTTTAGATTTAAAAAAAATTGTTTTTAAGTTTTTTTGTTGTTTCGTATTATATTTGCCTAAAATAAATCCATCAAAAAAATCTCTATAATCTTAGATTTATTTTTTTTTATTTTTTTATTTTATTTAATAATAATTTAATTTAATAATTACTAATTATTATTATTATTAAAATCACTGACTATTATATGATATTATTTTCTAAATATTTTTTTTTAACAATAGACGCACCGATTTTATCATTGATTTTAGGCGCCAGTGTTCAACACCAGGATATACTCGAAGGCAGTGATGTATACTTTGAGTGCAATATTCAAGTAAGTCAGTCATATAATAGACATCCCTTTCCCCATACCATCCCATCCCTAACCAGTCTCTCTCTCTCTCTCTCTCTCTCTCTCTCTCTCTCTCTCTCTCTCTCTCTCTCTCTCTCTATCTATCTATCTATCTCTCTCTATTACTTTATGATATCTCATGAATTAATTACATAAAAAAAACTTTTTAATTTTTGTAATATAAAAAATTATTTTTAGTTATCCAATAGTTATGAATTGAAAGTCTAATATAAATTATCATATTTTAAAATGCCATTAAATACAAGTTATATAAATTATATTTTTAGAAAAAAATAACATAATATTTTTGTTTACTCATAAATATTGAAACTTTTTTAATTTAAACTTAAATTATTATTGATATTAAAAACTTATAAATTTCTAAATCTATTTTTATTAACTAAAATATATAATTTTTAAAATATATTTTTATAATTTTTTAATTAACATAATATATAATATATTATGATAAGTGTTTGAGAAAATAATTATAATTTTTTTTAATAGTCTAGACTATTAATTATAAGTTATAATTAAAATTTTTCATAAATTATTATTATTTATATCGTAAATCTATATAAAAAAAAATTATTTTAGTTTTTTATTTTTATATTTTAAGTTTTTTTTTAAATATTTTGATTATATTTGCCTAAAAAAAATAAATCCAACAAAATCTCTGTCTTTAATCTTTAAGATTTAAATATAATTTATTTTCTTATTTTTTAAATAATAATAATAATAATTTGATTTAAATAATTAAATTATTGATATATTATTTTTGAGTACCAATTGGTTAGTAACAAATACATTGAGACAAAAAATAATAACATTTTATAAAAAATAGTTATATATAATATCTAAACTAACCTATAAATTGTAGGCCAATCCGCCCGTAACCGAAATCGGTTGGCTATATAATGACCAACAATTGGACACTAGTATGTCGTCCACAACTACGACATCATCATCATCTATACTACCGGGGCTTGAAATCAAAAACAATTCACTGTTTATACGTAATATTGGCAGAAAATTGCATAGAGGAAAGTACCAGTGTTTTGCGGTCAATGGCCAGGGACGCGGGGACAGTGATGTTGTCAATCTTAAAGTCAAATGTATGTATTGGTTGCGTTTGTTTGAAAATTTTTTGTGACCAATCGAGATAACTATATCCAAAAAAAATTGATCCCAAAAACAAACAGATCCACCAATTTGTAAGTCAGTACAGCGGGTCTACTACGGTGTGGCCAAACAAGAGGTGGCCCGAGTCGAGTGCGAAGTAGATGCCGATCCCGGCGATGTAGTGTTTCATTGGTCGTTCAATAATAGTGCCGCAACAACGGGAACGGGTGGTAGTGTGGACAGCCTGGACACTACCATCACAACCACTACCACTACCACCACCGCCGCCAACAATGTGGTCCAGTTTGTTAGCGAAGGCAAAAAAAGTTACGCCACTTATATACCGCGTGTGGACTTAGATTACGGTCGGCTATATTGTTGGGCACACAATAGTGCCGGCAAACAGCGGGAACCTTGCGTTTTCTTTGTCATCGAAGCCGGTATTTAATTCAATAAATTAATAAAATTATTATTATAATTATTATTATATTTTTTAAAAAAATTGTTAAATATTTTTGAATTAAAAATTTTTTTAGTAATTATTTGTTTTAAAGTGTAAATACAAACAATAAAACAAACAATATTTATATCTAATTATTAATAATCATATAAACTATTATATCATAGATTCATAATCACTATTATTATTAGTATCTTTTTTTAAATAGTTAAATATTTTTGAATTTAAAAAAATTTTAGTAATTATTAATTTTTAAGTGTAAATACAAACAATAAAACAAAAAATATTTATATCTAATTATTATTATTATTATCATATAAACAATATATCCATAGATTCATAATCATATCTATAAAAAAAATTAATAAATTTAAACTTATTTTTAACCTAAAACTAAAAATTTTTTGATTTATTTTATTTTTATAAAATAATTACTGAATTAGTAAATAATTAATTCAATATTTATTATTAGTAATTTAGTAAATAAAACAAAAATAATTAAAGCAATTAGAGATTACTATAATATAAATTATAAATTTAAGTAAATTAATTATAAAAGTAATAATTACTAAATTATTTTTACGTTAATTTAAAATACATTTATACAACAACAACAAAATATTTTAAATAATCTAAATAGTTATATATATATATAAACTTTATTTTTATAATTTATTTATTTATTTATAGGACCACCCGATCCGCCGGATAACTGTTCGGTGACCAACATTACCGTACATTCGTTGACCATTGAATGTTTGCCCGGCTATTCGGGCGGTTTGGATCAGATATTCTATCTGGAAGTGATCGGTTCAAACCCGAACCATCATCACCGACAGTACGCCAACATGACATCCCGAGAGTATCCGTTTTTCATTATCCATGGCCTACCGACTGGCCAGACGTTTCGGTTGGTCCTCTATTCGACCAATGCTAAGGGCAAAAGTCGACCGATCAGTATGACTGGCAGTACACTGTTGGCCGCTCAGTGGCAATCGGGTTAGTCCTATAAATAATTGCCGATAAAAATAATACATTAGTTTTTTATCTAAATATATAAAAAAAAATTATTATTTATTGTTTTGTCAATAATTTTCCAAATCATTCAATGAAATATAAAATTTTTTATTTATTTATTTTACACATAATTGAAAATAATTTACATATATATATATCTATAAGTCATATAAAAACAGCAAAAAAAATATAATAATTATAATAATCAATATTTATTTGTTTTTTTTTTGATAAATTACTTATCAAATCGATTGTCAGTTAAACATGAAAATTGTTTTTTGTTTTTTATTTATTTTTTATTTTTTTTTTGATAAAAAATAATGCTTTTTTTCAATACCCATAAGTATTTCTATTTTTCCCATTGGAAACAAACATTGGATTTTTTAGTTTTTAAAAAAATAAATATATTTTACATAATAATAATCAATTGCTTTTTTAAGTTAAATTTGTTCAAAATGTTACTAATTTTATATTAGTTTATATAATAATATAATATAGAAATAATCATAAAATTAGTTATATATAATATATATATTAAATCTATTATTTATCAACAAAAAAAACATTATACTGTATAATGTTTTAATATAATAGTTTAATACATTAATCATAATTATACATTTAATATGAAATTATTTTATATATAACTTATATTATATTATATATATTTAAAATATTAATAAATAAATATAATCCTAAGCCTAACATAAGCAGATTAACTTAATATTTGATTATTTGATTATATAAATTATTTAAACTAATTAAATGCTATATTAAATAATTTAGTTTGAATAATTTTATATAAAAAAATATTTCACTATATATATATTGTATATAACTATTGATCAAATCTAATGTATTTATTTATTTATTTTTTTTATTTTTTTTTGTTGAAAATTTTCATATATGAGATTTTGTGTCATAATATATATATATATATATATATATATAATACAGTATAATATCATATAAAGTATAACACATTAAATATTTATGATATAAAATGGATATAAATATTGACAACTCTTTTATATATATTATTATTATTATATATATATATAAATATAAATAAATTTTTTTATTTGACTACAAAATCCTTTTTAAAAATCTACACAACATTTTCCGATACCTTTATGTGTATTATAATAATAATATGATTGCATAATATATATATATATAAAAATATCTTATAAATACTTTAAGAGCTATTATTATTAGTATTATAGTCTAAAAAATTATAAAATCCTTATTTTTTGTTTTATTTTTTTTCATCAAATATTGGATTTTTATATCAATTTATATATATATATATAAATTTAAATAATTCAAAATAAAATCTTTTATATAACAATAGCTATTAATAATCCTAGTGTTAAATAAATATTAGAATATTTTAATATTTTTATTATTAGTAGTAGTAGTTTTGTTTTTTAAAAAAAAGATAAAATAAAATAACTATAGATTTAGGAGGGAATAAAATGGGGGGGGGGGGAAAAATATTTTAATAAAATAATTTTGTTTAATAATAATAAATTAATTCAACCAACAAAAAAACAATTAAGATTATACACTATTATTATTATTAACAAATACAAACATATAATAACATATAAATTTAATTATATACTAATTTTAACATCTATTATTATTATTATTTTCTCACAATTAGATGACCTGGAGCCAATAGTAATTAGTCCCCTATTGGCAATATTGATGGGCAGTGTCGGTGCATTAATTTTATTAGCAATTATTATCATAATGATAATGAAATTAAAATCGGATAACGAAAATAAAAGTAATTACAATTATATATATATAATTATTATTGATTTTATGTTACAATATATTTATATATACAGTATTTATATATACAGTATTTATATATACAGTATTTATATATATATATATATTGTATATATAACTTACAATATATGAAATTACTAATAATATTATATCAAAATTAAAAATTATTTATTTATTTTTTATTCAAAAAAAACTAATAGATACAGAAAAACTTGTTATAAATTCAATTAATCGCTCAAATCATATGTAAGTATAGTATTTATCTAATAATAATAATATTTAATTATTATAATAATAAAAAACAATTTTTTTCACCTATAGATCTAATGATATAAAGTCGTCGACAATAAATCGCAAATTTTATACCATGGATGACAATTGTCCGGATATTATACTAACAGATATGATAATCACATCTAAAGGTAACTGATTTTTTTAGCTAATATAAAACAATTGATTAATTAAATCAAAAAAAAAATATATATATTATTATTATTTTACAGACAATAACTGCTATGAATTAAGCAATAATCATAAGTCGTCGGCAAATCATAGGACGACTACATTCATGACAACCACTACTTTAGACCGAAATAATAAATTATCGGTTAATACCAATAATACTAATACTAATCCCCAATCGTTGACCATCGCTGCCGATACCATACCACCGCCCGATTCGTTTCACGACAGATACGATTCGACTGATCTGATCCTAACGTCATGCGATGCCAATACCATGTCTTCGCCGTCTCCGTCGACATCGACACTAACTAATAATACTACGACAACAACTGATCCGCTAAGACTGCTGTGTAATGTCAAACATAATCACAATATGAATGTAAGTTTTATTTCGTTTGTTTGTTTAAAAATTATCTGCCGATAAACTAATGATTTACTCTCTCTCTCTCTCTCTCTCTCTCTCTCTCTCTCTCACCTCTCTCTCTCTCTCTCTCTCTCACCTCTCTCTCATCACTATCTCTCTCATCCCTATCTCTCTCATCCCTATCTCTCTCATCCCTATCTCTCTCACCTCTCTTTCATCCCTATCTCTCTCATCCCTCTCTCTCTCACTTCTCTCTCTCTCATCTCTCTCTCTCTCTCTTTTTCTCATCACATATTTGACGGATCAAAGGCCGCCAACAGCAACAACAATAACCTATTGACTTACGCGGAGATAATCCTATCAAACGATTCGCATAATCACATCAATTGGGAAAACAGTAATAATACTAATAGTAAACAACAATTTGTTGGATTCAATAACGATATAAATCATATACAACAACACCACCAGCAACACCATCACCACCAGCAACAACAACAACAGCATCGGGTCAACGATTATCATCGATCGTCGCCTCATGTGGTCATCAGTGCCAAAGTTGGCGGCGGTAATGATCATCAATTGTTGCAAACATTTTCCCGCCACCGATCAGATCAGACAATATCGGATGACGAAAGTATTAGTGTTATAACCAGTAGTAATGCCAATACGCCGCCAATGATGACCATCAATGGCAAGAATGAAAGCGCAACGGTTTGTGTGATATATTTACCGGTAGTTTAAAAAAAAAAAACTTTTAATTAACTAATTTTTGTGTTTCAAATATCTTTTCAACTGATCCAAAAAAAACCAGTGGGTGATTGTCGACAATGATGGCTCCGATTATCCAACAGTTGTCTAACAATTAAAACAAAAAAAATCACAATTAATTAAATCAATCAAATAATGGCCTTTATTTTTTCATGAATGAATTTTTTATAACAAATTTTTATATATATATATATATATCGTAAATATATAATATAAATGTATACACAATTTTAAAAAAACATAATATATATATATAGAGACCAATAAAAATATAATAAATTAAATTTTAATTAAAATATATACTGATATATAATATAAAACCTATGAAACAGTTTTATTTAGATTAGTATAGCCGATGCCCACACATGTGGCCAGTAGTTTGGTTGAACCCAATCGTAGTTCATCGTCAATCATATCGTCATCATTGGTGGCCGAGGCAGCAGTGGTACTACTACTGGCCGTCGATTGGGTGTCCAATTTGAATGTCAAATCGACAAATTGTTTCATATGACGGAACAGTTGTATGGAAAATGGAGACAACGGTCCCAACAGGACTTTCGACAGATCTCTTTGGCCGAAAGCCATGAATAGTGTACACAATGGCTGACTCTGGGTATCGACAGCACCGCCTCTGTAGATATCGTTCAGCAATGCATAGGTAGCTTCCCGTGCAATATCTTCGGCTACGGCTTCGGTTTCTTTGCCCGAACCTGACGGATGAGAACAAGCGTCGCCAACATAGCAACAACCGTTCGGTACAGTTGTTTCGGCCCATAAACAGAGGCCAAAACCACGCGATTTCCCACTACGCGGGCCTTTCAGATGATCCGTATAGATGTAAATGTCGGGAATATATTTCAATAGTATGCCTTTGGCTTCCGCTACCATACGATTGGCCAACTGTGGCGATACACGGGTGGCGTAGGCCAGGCCACGTATGCGGCGAACTTTGCCGGCGTCGAGCGATTGAATGGGCCGCAGATAGCGCCGAATGGGACACTTGAATACAATACAACCGCCGCCAGCCGGTGCCAGACCACGACTTTCGACGGTAATCGATAGTTCGTCATCGTCGGCGGCACCGCCCAAAAACTGTTTGATTATGGCCAGCGACGAGTGTTTCAATGAGTCCACTGACGGATCAATTCGGTCGTTGGTTATGCCGGTCAGTCGGGCCTCGAGCGGGTGTTTGCAAAACGGAGCCAACATTAACAGCGGCTCCAAGTAGTAGCCGATACTACGGCCCAGTGAACAGTCGTGTTCAACGCGGCCACCGTATGGCAGGCCGGGTCGGAAGTCCAATCGGGTGCCGCGTTGGTCGACATAGATATCCGAACCGTTGGTCACTTTTTCCATTAGTTTCAATAAATTCATTTCCGATTCGTTGAGGCCATAGTTGCCGACCGAATCTTGTTGTTTGTCACGAATACCCGTAATTTTTACCGCTTTTCCGGTCAGTACGGATAGTACTAGTCGTTGCCGAAGACAATTGGATCCTTGGAATTCCATGACCGCCGACAGTCACCGCCGTAGTAGTAGTAGTAGTGGTCAGTAAATTAGTGGTCAGTAAACTCACGGCTTATATATGATATGATTATAACCACATGTTTTGAAAATAAATTGTTATTTAAATTACAGTTTAATAAACACATGTTTGTATTGAAAAAATCCCGTTCACTAACAACGTTACCAAACGTTTTACATTTAAAAACTATTATAGTATTATATAAATAATCTATTCATAGACACAGTTTGAATATTATAGATAAATATTTTTTTGTCCCCCTTTTTTGTTTATTGTATTGAATTTAAATACACACACACACACATATGTAGTTCAATACAATTTTCAATCGCCCCCCCCTAACAATATCCAATCTTACGTTTTATTTGGATATTAATATACCGGTTAAATGCATTACTAATTATTACATAAATAACGTCTAATCTCTTTTAATTTGGTTATATATATATATTAATTTGTGCTAAACCAAAACAATAGCAAACGCATCACAAATACATAGACTATATCATAGATTACATTTAATATATATATATATATAAATATAATATAACTTTGTATGTGTATACTGTATATAATAACTATGCCGTATAAAGACTCCGCCCCCCCCACTAAACATTAGACGCTAGTAATATTGCGCGTATATATATATATATGTGTGTGTGTGTGTGTGTTAGTATAAGCAAAACCAAAACAACAATAGCCGCCAGTCTATGTTTATGGTGCGCACTATTATTAGGTATAATGCTTAGGGAGGGGGCGGAGTTTATATAGAAAAACATATTATATATTTTTGTATGTATATATATACAGTTTGTGCAACTTAAAAGTTTAAATTTGAGTAATATTTGTATAATGCTTTAGCAAGGTACTTTAAAATATAACTTACCTAATATTAGGTAACTGTATACTAAATTACCTTGCTTAGCGTAAAGTTAACTGTTCAGGATATTACTAAAAATTTAAACTTTTAATTACCATTATCTGTATATTAAGTGTAATCTATATCTGTTTGTGTTGCGTCTGCTATTGTTTTGGTTTAGGACATACTGAGATAATTTTAAAAAAAAAACTATATTAAAACTGTTTCATTGAAAACAAAACCAAAATATTGGATAATTTTAAACAAATTTATTAATAGATGTCTCAGCTATCAGTTTAATCATTAATACAATTCATATCAATTGTAATGTATAAATGCATTATGTAGTCAATGAATAGACAAAAACACAATTTTTTTCAACAATTGTTATTTTAATCAAAACTAATATTATAATTAATATTTTTTATTTATATTTTATTTATTTATAGTAATAACACTTTTAAAATAAAAAAAATATTAATTATAATATTAGTTTTGATTAAAAAAACAATTGTTGAAAAAAATGTGTATTTTGTCTATTCATTGACTACATAATGCATTTACACATCATTACAATTGATATGAATTGTATTAATGATTAAACTGATAGCTGAGACATCTATTAATAAATTTGTTTAAAATTATCCAATATTTTGGTTTTGTTTTCAATGAAACAGTTTTATTAACGTTATTGTTGTGTATTTTGGAGCCGTTCACAGATAACGTATATTACAATTACAGTTTAATGTATTATTTTATTTATTTGAAGCACATGTGCTGTCAATATGTGGACCGCTTTTGCAATACATTTAACTATTAAAATGTATTAATATTTCTAATGTAAACCTAAAGCACACATTCAATGTTGAATTGCATCAGAATTTTGTGTAGAAATATATTAAACAAAAAAATTTTTTTTTAGTGTTTTTTTAGTATTAATTCATTCAAAAAAAACTAAAAAAAAATTAAATCTAAAAAATCAATGCTTTTATAGTGTGTTTCAAATTCAACAAACAGTTTGCTGTATAATAACAATCAAATCAATTAAATTAATTAATTAATTAATTAATTATTAACTAATTGTTGACAACAACGACAACAACTGTTAATAAATATGTTGTTAAACATTATCGGCGGTCACTGTCTTCGGGCGGCAAAGTCAACGACAACTACGGGTGGACCGCAAGTGTTGACCAAATTGACACAAATCCGTCATTTAAGTCACAATCGTATCAATAGTTATAATGTAAGCAATCATTTGACCATCAATTGTCTGACCACTAATCGGTTTGTCTATTCATTACATACACACCAACAGAATGCTGTCCTTCAAAATTATCGGCGTTTTGAAGCCGCCGAACAGCGCCGTTACAAATCGGATAAAGTCCAGGGAGTGGTCATCGGTATTGATTTGGGTACGACTAACTCGTGCGTAGCGGTCATGGAGGGCAAGACACCGAAGGTCATCGAAAATGCCGAAGGATCGCGAACGACACCGTCGGTAGTGGCGTTTACCGCTGACGGTGAACGCTTGGTTGGTATGCCGGCTAAACGCCAAGCGGTAACCAATGCGGCCAATACTTTCTACGCTACCAAACGGCTTATCGGCCGTCGGTTCGATGACGCCGAAGTCCAGAAAGACATCCGTATAGTTTCCTATAAGATTGTTAAGTCCAGCAACGGTGACGCGTGGCTACAATCGCACGGCAAACTGTATAGTCCGTCGCAAATCGGCGCCTTTATACTGACCAAAATGAAAGAAACGGCCGAATCCTATCTGAATCAATCGGTCAAGAATGCAGTGGTCACTGTACCGGCCTATTTCAACGATAGCCAGCGTCAGGCTACGAAAGATGCCGGCCAGATAGCCGGCCTGAATGTATTGCGGGTAATCAACGAACCGACTGCAGCCGCTATTGCTTACGGTATGGATAAAACCGAGGATAAGGTTATAGCGGTCTACGATCTGGGCGGCGGTACGTTTGATGTATCGATTTTGGAGATACAAAAAGGTGTATTTGAAGTGAAGTCGACAAACGGCGATACTTTCCTCGGTGGCGAAGACTTTGACAATGCATTGGTTAACTATTTGGCCAAAGAGTTCCGACGGGAACAGGGCGTTGATGTAACCAAAGATGTGATGGCAATGCAACGGCTGAAAGAGGCGGCCGAAAAGGCTAAGTGCGAACTGTCGGCATCGGTTCAGACGGATATCAATTTGCCGTATCTGACTATGGATGCCGGCGGCCCGAAACATATGAACTTGAAGTTGACTCGGGCCACGTTTGAGTCGCTGGTCGCCGATCTGATTAAGCGTACCATTGAACCGTGCCGTAAGGCTATCAACGATGCCGAAGTCAAACGTACCGATATTCACGAAGTCCTGCTGGTCGGCGGTATGACCCGTATGCCCAAAGTACAGGAAACTGTTCAGGAAATTTTCGGTCGGGCGCCGTCCAAAGCGGTCAATCCGGACGAGGCTGTAGCTGTCGGTGCAGCCGTACAGGGAGGTGTCCTATCGGGTAATGTAACCGAAATCTTGTTGCTCGACGTTACCCCCCTATCGTTGGGCATTGAAACACTGGGCGGTGTATTCACCAAATTGATTAACCGTAACACTACTATACCCACTAAGAAAAGTCAAGTATTTTCTACGGCAGCCGACGGCCAGACTCAGGTCGAGATTAAGGTATGTCAGGGCGAACGTGAAATGGCATTGGATAACAAAACGTTGGGCCAGTTTTCGTTGATTGGTATACCGCCGGCACCCCGTGGTATCCCCCAAATCGAGGTAACCTTCGATATCGATGCCAACGGTATTGTACACGTATCGGCCCGGGATAAGGGAACCGGTAAAGAGCAACAAATTGTCATCCAATCATCGGGTGGTCTATCGAAAGATGATATCGAAAATATGATTAAAAATGCTGAGAGATATGCAGCTGAAGATAAAAAACGTAAGGAATCAGTCGAAGCTGTCAATCAAGCGGAGAGTATTATTCACGACACTGAGTCCAAAATGGATGAATTCAAGGATCAGTTGCCCGGCGAAGAGGTGGACAAACTGAAGGAAAAGATTCAGAAGACACGGGAAGTGTTGCAGAATAAGGATAACGAAACACCGGAGAAGATGAAAGAAGTTACCAATGATTTACAACAGGCATCGTTGAAGTTGTTTGAGATGGCCTACAAAAAGGTAAGGGTTTTTTAGATACCTGTGCGCTCATCATTGATGACTAATGTTATGTTATTTTTTTTTGTTTTCATTGAACAGATGGCTGCCGATAGAGAAAGTAGTCAACAATCATCTCAGTCTTCTTCATCATCAACATCGTCGTCAAGTAGTTCATCAACTGATGAAACAATTGATCAAAAGGACGATAAAGACAAAAAAGAAGATAAAAATTAATTTAATTAATTAATTAGTAATCATTTGATTTGATAATTAACTTTAACTTTAAACAAAAATAAGATTTTTTTTTTTTTAAAAAACGAAACTTCTATACGTTATAAACGTAAATATTATTATTTTAAACACAAAAAAAAACTTAAAATTTTTGTTTCATTAGGATATTATTATTACTATTATTATATTTGAAGAGCACTTTTGTTGTGTCCATTATATTCACCCGAAAAATATAAAACTTATCTTTTATTTTATTTTTTTTGTGGACACAAAAAAATGTTGACATCCATTGGTGATCATTAACGTAGTCTTCAACAGTCAAATATGTTGTTTTGAACGCTTGATATGATATTTAGTTTACTATTACTATTATAATATGTCTTTAAAAATCATTTATATAATTTAGTGTTAAATCTCTCTCTCTCTCTCTCTCTCTCTTTATCTTTATTATTAGACATTTGTAAAATTATTTTATAATAAAAAAATTTCTATTACATACATATATAATTGTGTTTAATTTTTTTTATTAATTGTAATGATTATTGAATTAAATAATTTAGCATGGTAAATTATATTGATAAATATTTTTGTTAAACAAATTAAAAATAATTTTTTAAATTTATAATCACTTCAAAAATATATCACTAATTTTTTGTTGTGTGTGTGTGTCCATCAAAAATATGTAAATTTTATTATATATATATATATAATGTATTATTTATTGCTTAACAAAATTTTTTGTTTATTGATAACCAAAAAAAAATTAAACCAAAAAAACTAAAGTAAAGTACATTTTATATTATGGACACACAAATCATTAATTATTGATAATAATAATAATAATCATCTCAAATAATTCAAACAATTTATTATTATTATAATTTCAATGATATATATATATATATATATATTTAAATTTATGATTTCTTAAATAGATATTTATTCATTCATTCATTCATTCAGATATTCATAGAGTTTTTTTATACATCAAAAAAAACTAAAATAAAACTAAAAAATAATAAAATAAAGTAATTATGAGTTGAAGGGCTGGATATATGTACTGTATATACAGTATATACTGTATATATATATATAACTCAATGTAGCCGACACACGACTCGCTCACTTATTTGATAAATGATCCCACAATTTAACATCCAGTTCCCCCCCTCTATCTCTATCACAGTGTGCAGTATATACTGTAGGTATGAGCCAGTGATAGCTGGTGGTGGTGGGGTGTAGGGGGGTATGTTGGGCTGTATCACTACATTATACCTGTATATATATACAGGTATTATACAAAAATATTATAATTCATACCAACAAAAAAATAAAACAACAAAAAATAATATAATATATATATATATATATAGCATGAGTGTTGAATACACCCAAAATGTTATGTGACTTTTTTTTATTAGCACCGGGACTATAATTCATTTATGCAATCGCACCGTTGGATACCTGAGCGTGTATGAGCTCTCAGCTCTCTCAGCTCTCTCTCTCTCTCTCTCTCTCTCTCTCTCTCTCTCTCTCTCTCTCTCTCTCTCTACACTACACTATAGTACAGGTATGTATACCTGTATTTTTAGATACAGAAGCGATTTGTATACATCATCAACACAAGGCATTACACACACACACACACATTGAGAATAACAACAACAAAAATAACATAACAAAACATCCAACAAAAAAAACCAACTGTGCCTATAGATAACTAACTGATAACAACAACAAAATATCACTGTATATATTATGCATACATTTTTTTTGGTTATATATATATACTGTATTACATATATCCATAACACCCGGGCATTTGGGAGGTGAGAGAGAGAGAGAGAGAGAGAGAGAGAGAGAGAGAGAGAGAGAGATGAGTACCTGTTAGATAACATATTACCACCAGTGATGATGATGATGAGCACATACATACATACATACACACATACATACACGCATACAAACGCACACACACATACACACACATACATACACATACATACATACACACACACATACATACACACACATACACACACATACATACACATACATACATACACACACACATACATACACATACATACACATACATACACACACATACATACACATACACACACACACACACACACATACACACACATACACACACATACACACACATACACACACACATACACACACATACATCAGATTTTATTTTTATAAAAAAAACTTGAATATAAAGTACATATATATCATATATAATAATTTTTTGGTATATATATATATATTTTAAACCCAACTTTTATGTTGTATACGATTATCATTACTAATACATAATAAAATAAAAATCTCTCATAAAATTATAAGTCATATATAGTATATATATATATTATATGTATGTATATATTATATACAACCAGTAAGTAGTTTACAACTTATATATGTGTATCTCATTTGTTATGATATTTATTGCTATAATAACTATCACACTGTACTGTACTTTACTGTTGCTGTGAATATGTTTTATTGTAAAAAAAATTATATTATATATTAAAAATGCGAATTATTTTTAACACTAAATTATCATATATTTATTTATTTTAATGGTGAATATAATAACAATTTTTATTATATATATATATTTTTTTTTGGTTAAAATTTTTTAGTTGTTTTATACTATATTAATGTTAATTCATTTTTTTAAAGCTATCATTCATTTAGTAGTTATTATTATTATTATTTATATTATTATTGTTTTATATTCTCTATGTATGTATGTATTGTCATAAATATTATTATAATTTTTTAATAATAATAATAATAATAAAATATATTTATATATCAGTTGTTTTAGTTTGAAAAAAGTAAAATAACTGCACTTTTTGTTGTTTGTATGCCATTCCTGTTATGTAAAACACTTTATTTTATTTTTATTTATTTTTTGAATGTTTCTCTTATTATTTTTATAGATATTTTTTTTGCTTATTTTCTGTTTAAGTTTGCAAATCTTTTTCATAATTTTTTTAAATATTTTATTTCATATTATTTTGTGTTTTACTATTGAGAGAGAGAGAGAGAGAGAGAGAGAGAGAGAGAGAGAGAGAGAGAGAGAGAGAGAGAGAGAGAGAGAGAGAGAGAGAGAGAGAGAGAGAGAGAGAGAGAGATGAGAGAGAGAGAGAGAGAGAGAGAGATGAGACCTCACTGTATATTATAAATATTCAATAATATTATTTTTAAACAGTTTTTCTTATATTATATATTATAGTAAAAAAATAAATAAAAATAATTTTTTTAGTGTTTATTATGTATTCATTTTGTTATATGTTTTTATTTTTATTTTTTTTGTTGTAAACTTTTATTTATATGTTTTTAAAAAAAAATCAATAATTTATAATCCGATGGACAACTACTAGCAGAGCGCGCGCGTGTATTAACACAATCAGTAATAATAATAATAATAATAATAATCAGTTTTTTGGGGTTTTTTTATTTTAATTTTATTTTAGTTTTTGAATATATTTTTGTTGTTGAATGTCTGTGCCTTTCGTCTGTAAAATTCATCATCAATTCAGTAGTGATTTTGAAAGATCAAGAATAAGAAGAAGAAGAAGTGGTATAGAAGTGGTAGAAGAAGAGGAGGAAGAATAAGCAATAAAAAGTAATAAATAAATCTGTAATACAAAAAAAATTAAGATAAGAGGCGGGGATAGGGATGTGATAGAGAGAGGGCTGACTGGATATATACCTTCAAACAAAAAAGAGGGTATAGTTTTGCCTTAAATTTTTGTTGTTGTTGTTGTTGTTGTTGTTGGTAGTAGTGGTGTATAACTCTACTGCTAAATGGTGTGTCAATTGGGATTACATTTTTTGATTTTTTTAGTATTAATTTTTTTTTTGTTTAGTAATACCCGACTCTCTCTCTCTCTCTCACTCGTGTGAGGCAAACATGCCATTCATTATTACATCAATAACTAAAAAAACATATATATATATATACAGTATTATAGTTTTATAAACTTTTTTTGGTGGCCTTTACAACAACAACAACTAAACATTAAAAGTTTCAAAAAACTAAATCAAATGATTAGATCATGAAATTTTTGCTAACTGTTCAAAAAAAAGTCAACTGTTTTTTGGGCACACAATTCAATGGTTAAGTGTTGGCTGATTTTTATTTATTGATTGTGTATCAGATAAGACAACCGACACCTAATAAAAAATCAACACTTGTTTCTCAACAATCATATGTTTAGCACATATATAAAAAAATCTTTTAGTAAAAAAGTGATTTTTTGTTTGAGTGTCAGTAAAAAAGTTTTATATATATATATACAGTACTACCATATAGTTGTATCATATGGTGTCCAAAACCATGGCTTTTAAGACCCTAAACAACAACAAACTGTTTCGTCCATGGATTCATCCGTCTAACTGTCCATCAGTTGATGATAACTGTCCAGAAAACATACTATTATGCAAATGTATCGATGATTTAACAACAAAAAGTAGTTTTTCATCAGCAAATAGATACAGCAAATCATTGTTGCCATCATTTCTATATAATGATTCCCATCATCATCAGCAATATGTCAACAACAATAGCAACACTACTATAGGAACTACATCATCGATGTACAGGTGCTTATCTAAACATTGTTCATCATCATCGTCATCATCATCAACAACATCCTTATCCTCAACATCACTGTCCAAACATTGTGTCGATGAACTGATTAATATGTTTTTCATGCCTAAATTAATCGGACATAAAATTGCTGCTGCTGACATACATGAGCTAAATATGGACAACCATTATCATCGTAACTATCCCATAGCTACAGTACAAAACAGTAGCAACGATAGCACCATTACTACTACTACACCTACTACTCCCACTCCCACTACTAATGATATATTAGCTATAAATAGATTCAATGGATTTACAAATAATAATAATATCAATAATAATAATAATAATAGTTTTGATACAACAAAGTCATGGTTTGGACGGTTACGTCGGCAACGAGTCAAACGGTTTATATGTCCGCACTGTTCGGTCGGCTTCTCAAATAACGGACAACTCAAAGGACATATCAGAACCCATACCGGTATTGAAGTTATTATTATTATTATTATGCAATCAATCAATTAATTAATTGATAGTTTAAACGATTAAATTTATGTTATCATTAGCACAAAAAAAACTATTTATATTTAAAAATAAAACTAATAAATACAGTATATATAAACAGTATATCAATAGATTGCATGATATGTTTAAATTAGTTGTTTATTACTACTATATTATTAAAATTTTTATCAGTTTTTTATGTGAAAGACTCACCCCTTTTAATAAATTTAAGATATTTTTTTTTGAAAAAAATTATTTATAAAATAGGATATAACTAATAGTACTTTAATAGTATATTAATATATAGTTAAAAAAACATAATTTTGTGATAATTACTAATAAATTTATAATTACAGTACAATTTTTTTATTTGTCTAGTTTTAGTTATAAAATTTATGTTTTTAAAATAAATTACTAATAAATATACTTATTATTTTTTATCTACAAATCTATGATTGAAAATAAAATTTATAAATATATCCATAAAAATTAAAATTATTAATTAATTAATTGATTTTATTGTTGTTGTTTATCAGGTGAGCGACCATTTATTTGCGACCACAAAGAGTGCGGCAAATCGTTTACCCGCAATGAGGAGCTGACCCGTCATCGGCGCATACATACCGGTGTCAGGCCTTACTCGTGCACCGTATGTACCAAACGATTCGGTCGTAAAGATCATCTAAAAAAACATCAGCGAACCCATGAAAAACGTTTGTATAGTTGCAATGGTATCGGTAGTATCGGAGGACCGGGTTTTGGATCAAATGCTACTATACTAATGTCGTCACCATTAGTTGGTAGTGGATCTGTATTATCGACATCATCATCGGTGACGACACCATCATCTAATAAAGCCCTATCATTGCAGACAACATCATCAGCTGTTGCTAATAGTTTATCGGCTTTTTATAATTCAATGTATTTGCAAATTCAACATAAGTTTTAAAAAACACAACTAATAAAAAAAAATATTATATATAACTTTTGATTAATAGTTTTGTCATATATTATATGTTTATATTTTTCTATACAAACAAAACAAAAAAAATTGTGCCTAAAAATTGCTTTTTTTAAAATTTTTTTTTCTAATAAACAAAACAAAAATATTTAACTATTTAGTTGTTGTTGAATGCAATCAATTTTTATTAAATATGATAATTATTTTTGTATATTATATTTATATAAGTGTTTCCTTGAGATTAATACTGTGTGTGTATATAAAACAAGGAAACTTACTGTACATTACAGTACAGTATATAAATAAATTATATATTAATTTTAGTCTAAAAAAATATTTATTAGTCTAATTTTAGGATCACTTATTTATGGGAGCACAGGGAGGCAATAGGCATGTGTGTGTATGTATGTATGTATGTATGTATGTATGTATGTATGTGTGTGTGTATGTGTGTGTATGTATGTGTGTATGTGTTTGTATGTATGTGTGTGTATGTGTTTGTATGTATGTGTTTGTATGTATGTGTTTGTATGTATATCTTTGTATGTATGCATATGTGTGTGTATATGTATGTATGTGTGTGTGCTTATTGACAGCTGTTTTATTTATAAGTGTCTTATTATTATTATTATTATTATTTGATTTTTATTGCCTAAAATTTTTATGTCAACTGTATGAAAATATTATGCAATAATCTTGATCTTGAGCTCAAATATAACATCAAAACAACAACAACAAAATCAAAAAATTAAAAATAATTTGTTAGTTTGCCATTGGTATCAATTCCTTAAATAATTTTATTTCGATAGTGTGTTATATAATTAATTATAAAAAAATTTTTTTAATGATTGATTGTCTAAAAATACTTAAGGCTGTTATGTAATAGTAGGGATACAGTAGCTGTACTAACTAACTAACTGTGCTGTCAAAAAACCAATACTGTATACATAATCTGAGCATAATTTGCTAAAACAAACAAACAGTAATTTTTTGGGAAACTTTAAAAAGTGGTGTCACTTTTGTTGTTGTGATTATTATTATATTAATATATTGAGGTTTTTAGATCACAACCGATTGATAATTGAAAATATTATTATATATATTAAAGATTTTTTATGTATTTTCAAAATAAAAATTGTTTTCATATGTTTTATATATTTACAATTATCTATTGATTAGGGGGTAACTAATTATTAAGGGATTTATTTTTTAGTATCCCTTTAATTGTTAAAAAAAAAATTTATATTGAGTTGTGATATTAAGTCAAATAAATAATAATAATTTTTTTTAAATTAATTAATTAAAACTTTTATCACTATTTCCTACTTTTTTGTGTAGTTTTTTGATTAGTCATAAAAAATAAATTTTTAAAAACTTTAAAACTAAATGTTTATTATAAAATTGGTGACAATAAGTGTTTTATTATCGGTAACAACATGTGAACCATTGTCGCCGCCGACCACTACCGGCCGGCAAGTGGCCACTGGTACCCGTCGGCGACGTGTGCTATTGATGCGGCGGCCGTTTAACGGTAACAATGGCGGCCGTAATGTACGGCGAGTGTCGACCGTATCGTCAGGCGGTGGTCATCAGATACCCGAGGGTACTGTCCGGCTAGTGGGCGGACAGCACCAATGGGAGGGCAACGTCGAGATCTATCATATGGGTCGGTGGGGGTCCGTCTGCGACGATGAATGGGATCTAATGGATGGTCACGTTGTCTGCAAATCCCTGGGCTATACGGCCGGTGCACAGATGGCCACAAATAATGCACAGTTTGGCCGATCAAGGAGTATGTGATTTAATTATTATTTGATTTATTAATTAATTAATTATTTGTTTTTTGGTTATTATATTTAATAAACTATTAAATTAAATTGCAATTAAATATATATATATGACTACTGGAATGTGTTTAATAATAAATAAAAATAATTTACAATTCAATTAACTGCTAATTTTTTTTACTGTATTTGCATTATATTATTATCAATATATCTATTAACAAATAATTAAATTATTTTTTAATTAATTAATTTATATATATATATAATTGCAAGTATACAGTGTATATATATAATATTCCATTAAAAAATTAACTTAAAAAATAAATTATTCAGGCTAAAAACTATTTTAGCATAATAATAATAATACATATAATACTACTGTAATAATAATAATGATAATAATAATATTCTGTATAAAATTTAAATTTATTAACACATGATAAATACATTTGTGAATTACTGTATATACTGTATATATCTGTAATGTTTAAAAAAAATATTTTATATATTTTATAAAATAATTTATATCTTATTTTTTATATATATATATATCACACACACACACATAGAGCTAATATGGATGGATAATGTCTATTGTAGTTCAACTGAGAGGACACTGTCTGACTGTCAGTTTGATGGCTGGAAAATACACGACTGCACCACCAATGAGGCGGCGGGTGTTGTCTGCAAAACTACTACTACTACTACTACTAGCAATGCCAACAACAATGCCATTAATAATACTAATACTAATAGCATCTCTCCGATGGTGGTAGTGGTGACCACCAACAACCTCACGGCCAGTGGTGGTGGCGGTAGTGGTCGCATAGCATATAATGGTAGTGATATCAGTAGCACCGGTAGCATAGGTGGTGGTACTACAGCCGCTAGCAATAGTAGTAGTAGTAGTAGTAGTGAGAGAAGACATGCACTTTTGTTTAACAGCATAAGCAATGATGAGCCCATACCTACTACTACTACTACAACACCGTCAACAACAACACCAACAACGACAACGATTACTAATTCTGTTGTGAGCACCGGGAGAAACGCCAAAATAAGAGTAATTCTCTCTCTCTCTCTCTCTCTCTCTCTCTCTCTCTCTCTCTCTCTCTCTCTCTCTCTCTCTCTCTCTCTCTCGCAAAAAAAAGAGAGACACATAAAACACAAAGTCATTAATAATTCATAACTATTTGGTTGTCTCTCTCTCTCTCTCTCTCTCTCTCTCTCTCTCTCTCTCTCTCTCTCTCTCTCTCTCTCTCTCTCTCTCTCTCTCTCTCTCTGAAAGTGATGTATAACACAAATATTAACATATAGTGAATTTGAAACATATATATATATATAACATATTACTACTGTATTTATAATTTTTCATAGGATTTATTAGGATATTTAAAAAAACTAACAATTTTTTTTTATTAGTTTTTATTGTTATTATTATACCAGTAGTAGTACTGTCAGTATATTTAAAGCAATACTTTTTTTTGTTAGTTTTTTTTCCTATTATATAACTAAACAAAATAATAAAATAAAAAGAGTTAATGTAATTAATATTTAAATTAATATAATATATATATCTATACGTATATATAATACTGTTAGTATGTGATCACTAAATATAAGTTATATATATTTCAAACAACTGTCAAAAAAATTTATTTGACTACCAATGAGTAGTTTTTATTATAAGTATTAGTATTTTTTGGGTAAAATAACATTAAAAAATTTTTTTAACCACAAATAACTAACAAAAATTTAACAAAACAAACAAAAAAATTATTCAAAAAAAACTTATTTTTTATGTAAAATATATTTAACCAAAAAAAATAATAATAAATAGTTATGTCTTATCTTTTCATTATATATGTATATAAACTGTAGACTCAATGGACGGGTAGTTATAATAATAATAATAATAAAGACATCAATCTTCGTCTGTCTGGCGGTCAACATAGATATGAGGGCAGAGTTGAGATCAGATTCAACAACGACGACAATAACCAGGACTGGCGTCTGGTTTGCGGTGACGGTTGGAGTCTATTGGAGTCGATGGTTGTTTGCCGACAACTGGGTTTAGGCTATGCCTCCCATGCCATCCAAACTAACGTTTTCGGATCGCATAACTTGTCGCTGGCTGTCTCAGGGCTCAGGTGTAAGGGCTATGAAAAAGGGTTGGCCGACTGCGAGATCAACTCACTGGGCGGTAGCGGTGGTGGTGTTGGTGATGATGTCCATAGTTGTCCAGTTAGTCATCATAATGTTGCCGGCGTTATGTGTACATCAGGTACGCTATACAGGGGGAGTGTGTGGTGGGTGTTATATAGTCTAGTCTATCATCAAAAAAATGTTGTTGTATTATATGACCCCCAAAAAAAACATTCAATATTAATGCCTCACAAAAAAATATATTTAATTTTATTATTCATAGTATAGTAACAAACAAACAAAAATACAAACCAATTGATTGATTTTATTTTCAATGAATAACCCAACTAAACATTTTTTGGGCGTTTAGTTTTGTGTGTGTGTGTGTGTGTATGTATGTATGTATGTGTGTGTGTGTGTGCATGTATGTATGTATGTATGTATGTATGTATGTGTGTATGTATGTATGTGTGTGTATATATATGTATGTATGTATGTATGTATGTATGTATGTATGTATGTATGTATGTGTGTATGTATGTATGTGTGTGTATGTATGTGTGTATGTATGTGTGTGTGTATATATATATATGTATGTATGTATGTATTTATGTATGTGTGTGTGTATATATATGTATGTATGTATTTATGTATGTGTGTGTATGTTATTTAAATTATACAGTATATATACAGTATATATATTCGGAAAATATATATTAATTTTATTATTTTTTTTGTTATTTTATTTTTTTTGCTATTTTTGTTGTTGTTTTGTTGATAACATAGACCTCCCAGATCTGGTACCCGATGAGCGTGAAATAGAGAGATCAGCTTATCTGGAGGATCGTATGCTATTGCTATTACAGTGCGCTATGGAGGAAAACTGTCTGGCCAGCAGCGCCTATACTATTGTACGTAATGAACCCGGTATGTACTGTATATAATATATAATAGCATTTTGCTAACTGTCCCCACCCCACCCCCATCCCCATGTTTGATTCCGGGGGCTATTTGATCCCCGAATAATACAATATAATATATATCTAACCGTATATTATTATCTAACAATATATTTATTATGCAAACTATTAAGTATTATTAAATATTATTAATTATATAAAACAAAACTAAACTAAAATTTTTAATAAATTAATTATAATAATAGATATTTGTTATTAAAATATAATTTTTTTGTCTACCCCCCCCCCCCATATTATACTCGGTCATATTTGATATGTTGACTATACTAAATATACCGTTTATTAATTATTATTATTAATATATTTATATATTTTCAAAACTACTACTAAACTAAATGCAAAAAAAACATAACAACAAAATAATATTTAAAAAAATACTTTATATAATATTAATAAAAACTTTATATAATATTTAAAATAAAACTTTATATAATATTTAAAAAAACTTTATATAATATTTAAAAAAAACTTTATATAATATTTAAAAAAAACTTTATATAATATTTAAAAAAACTTTATATAATATTTAAAAAAAACTTTATATAATATTTAAAAAAATAATATATTATTGTATGTATATATGTATCAAAAAGGTTGGCAATTTGAAACCCGTCGGCTACTGCGATTCACTGCCCGCATAGCCAACATAGGAACTGCCGATTTTAGGCCATTCCTACCCAAGCATACCTGGGACTGGCATCAGTGTCACCGACACTATCACAGTATGGAAGTTTTCGCCCATTTCGACATATTGGACGGCCAAGGTAGACGGGTAGCTGAGGGACATAAGGCTAGTTTTTGTCTGGAAGATAACAATTGTAAGGATAACGGTACCCGAAAGTATGCCTGCGCTAACTATGGCGATCAGGGTATCAGTGTCGGATGCGGTAAATATTGCACAGTATACTTACGCATAGACCCGCATATAGCCTAAACCCCCCCCCCATTTATAAATTTTTTAACTTCAATTATTTTAATAGTGGGGGTATTTTTTGATAATTCATTAAAATAAAACATTTGGTAGTGAGTGGGTGACGGGGGGGCTATATATTACATATTAGCCCCACATTTTCACATATAGCCCCTGATGGCCAGGTGGGGGGGGGTAGGGTTATATGCGTGTCTATACGGGGGTGTACTGTACATGTGTTGTTAGATATATACAATATATATGTATATATATATATATGTCAAAAACAATTTAAGTGATTAATACATTTATTTTATTTTCTCGTTTGGTTGGTTTGGGGAATCACCCCCTCCTCCTCCTAACAGTCGACACTTATTTATATAACATAGACTGCCAGTGGATCGACATTACCGATCTACCACCCGGTGTCTACCAACTAAAGGTATGGCACATATAGATAGAGAGCATCGGCTGTTTTTTTTTGAAATAAAACTATATATTATATGTAAAGGCGTTGTACTTAGTAGTGTGTTATTAATTACTCTCTCTCTCTCTCTCTCTCTCTCTCTCTCTCTCTCTCTCTCTCTCTCCCAATCATTACAGGTGTCCATAAATCCCGAGTTTAAGGTATCGGAGCTCAGTTTTGACAATAATGCCGCTTTGTGTTCATTTTATTACAACACTTATATGGGTCGGGTGTATAACTGTACGCTTACCAGACCATAGACGGGATAGGATGGTATGGGATGGGATGATGATGACTGCCATTGTATGTGTGTGTGTGTGGGTATATAAATATATTTAGTAGTATATATACCGGTGCCAAAAAAATGTAATGTTTTTTTGTTGTCAAACAAAAAAAAATTATTCAAAACCAAAAATTAATGATTTATTTTCAACAACAAAAAAATATTACTTAATATATATAAATTTAGTTATGCCTTAAATAAAAAACAATAATGTGTTCAAATTGATAACCTTAAAAATGCTGCCAAATATATATTACTGTATTTTTTTATATAAAAAAAATACAGTATAATAACATAAACTATATATTTTTTATTATTATTAAAATTAATTATTAATAAACTTTAATTATATTACAAATATATTAAATAATTTTTTTTTTAAATTACAACTTTGTATTGACAATTGTAAACAATTAGAAATATTTATTTTATTAATTATATGATAAATAAATAAATAATAAAGAGTTTAATTTTACTTATAAAAATAAAATTTATTTTTTAAAAATTTATATATTATTATAATTATTAATATTGATATTATTTAATCATTTAAAACATTAATATATATATATACAGTAAAACTCATCGACAATTACCATCATTGTATTGCCAATACATAGATAGTGTGTCACTAAGCGATACTATTATCTAATAATAACATATAATTTATTTTATATATTTCTAAAACTTAGCAAAAAAATTGCATTTTATAAATGAAATCTATAGTTATATAACAACCTAATAATAATAATAATAATAATTTAGTTAATAAATTAGTTAATTATAACCCATTAAAATATTTAATTAAAAATTAATTAGTATACAAATTAGCTAGCTAAAAATTGTAACTAATTAGATTTAAATATTTTTTGAATAAGTTTCATTAGTTTAATTTATCTAATAATTACTATAACATAATTAGCTACTGATATAGTAATATTAATACATATTTGTTTGATATATAAGCAAATTAATTACAAATAACTATTGTGTTGTCCATATAGACATATGCTGTCTATATGGACAGCATTTTTTTTGCTAAATTTATATATATATATACTATTTTTAAATATCATGTTTTTTAATAATAATTTTTTTCAGTTAATAGATGTAGATTTTAAAAAAATAATAATTTTAATAATAATAATAAATTTATTTAGTAATTAACACACACACACACACACACACATACACACACACAAATATATATTAATATATATATATAATGCATAATTGAAAGTTTGTTGATAATTATAACATTATTAGATTTAATTTTAGATTTTTAGGACACTAAAAAATTAATATTTAAATATCTAACAAATATCTAAAAAACTATTCAAATAATACAATATATATATATACAGTATATAGTATTAACAATATTTATTATTATTATTAATTATTATTATATTATTATTATTGTTGTCGACACTTGTTGTTGGATCAGTCGATGAAATTCATAGATTTTTTTATTATTATTTAAATATTTTTAATTAATTAAATAAAAAACCACTTAATATTTGGATATTTTTTGAGTTATAGATTTTTATGGTTAGTTAGATTTTTTTCACTAGAGATAATATTAATATTATATATTATAAATTAATAATTAGTTGTTTTTCATTAACAAAAAATTATAAATTGTTTTGATAAATTCACATAGTTAGCATTTTTTTTTATTTATAAATTTTATCATTAATTTTTATATATTTTTTTTAAAAATAAATTACTGTATAGTATACTACAGTATAGTAATTTTAGTCAAAAATAAAATAAAAATAAAATGTATAAATAAATTAAATAACTAATTAAGTACATGTAGTTTTTTTTATAAATCATTGATATTATACATATTATATTAAATTATATACAGTATATTAAGTTTTTATATTATGTAAACTTTTAATAACTTTTAATAACTTATAATATACAGTAAGTGTCCGATCATTAAGATTATTGCAAAACCAATAAAAAATAAAATGTAATTTATTTTGTGTTTATAATTACCGGTAATTATAAAAAAAACAAATATATCTCAAAAACATTAATAAATACTATAGTATATACAATAAAACAAATAGTATATACAGTAAAACTCATTGGCAATTACTCATTGTATTGCCAATATATAGATAGTGTGTCTCTAAGCGATACAATTATATAATAATAATAACATATAATTTATTAATATATTTATAATACTTAGCAAAAAAAACATTGCATTTTATAAATGAAATCTTGTATGTTATATAACAATAATAACAAAAAAATCATTATAATAACAATTTTTTAAAATAAATTAGTTAATTATAACCCTATTAAAAATATTTAATTAAAAATTAATTAGTATACAAATTAGCTAGCTAAAAATTGTTGTTAATTAGATTTAAATATTTTTTGAATAAGTTTTATAAATTAAATTTATCTAATTATTACTATAATATAATTAGCTACTGATATAGTAATATTAATACCTATTTGTTTGATATATAAGTAAATTTGATTCATAAAACTATTGTGTTGTCCCCATATAGATGTTAACTCGTAATTGTCGAGTATAAGCGCCAATATTTAATTATGACTTATTATATTGGTTTCATAGAGCTAAACAATTATTGTTGATATTGTTGACCCAAATCTATGATATATATATATATATATATATATATATAATTTGCCTGGATTAAATGGATAAATGAGATTGAATTTAAAAAAATGCTATATGGACAGCACTTTTTTTGCTATTTAATATATAAATATAGTATACTATAAAACGTTTATTATTATTATTATTAATAGTATTTATTATTATTATTATTAATACTATTTATTATTAATAATATTAATACTATTTATTATTAATAATATTAATACTATTTATTATTATTATTATTATTATTATTATTATTATTATTATTATTATTATTATTATTATTATTATTATTATTATTATTATTAATTATTATTATTAATACTATTTATTATTATTATTTAAACCATTTAATAAAAGATATTTGGATATTTTTTTTTTAATTAAATATTTTAAGGTTAGTTAGATTTTCCATAGATAATAGTAATATTATATTAATAATTATTTGATTTTTTTTTTCTTTCCTAAATACAGTATATAATGATAAAATTATAAATTGTTAATAAATTTTCATAGTTTTCATAGTTCATAGATTTTTATTTAAATTATAACATTAATAATATTTTTTTTTAAAAATACTGTCTAGTATTGTATTTTAGTCAAAAAATAAACAAACAAAAATTAAAATGTATAAATTAATTAAATAACTAATTAAGTACATGTAATTTATAAATCACTGATATTATAAATATTATGTAAACTTTTAATATAACTTATAATATACAGTAAGTGTCCTATAATTAAGATTATTGCAAAACCAAAAATTAAAATGTAATTTATTTTGTGTTTATAATTACCGGTAATTAATAAAAAAAAACAAATATATCTCCAAAAAAAAATAAATTAAATTAAATAAAAAATAAATAAATTTGTGTTTCACTTCTTTGTCGGTGATCTGGACTTTGGCGGTGATCTAGACTTTGGCGGTGATCTAGACTTTGGCGGTGATCTAGACTTTGGCGGTGACCTACTTTTGTTGGCAGTGGTAGTACTAGTGATGTTGGCCTCACTGGTTGCTAATGGTGTCGACGACACATCAAAACCTCCCGAAACCATAGGATTTATTTGTGATGTGGTGTTAGTCCGCTGTTGTTGTTGTCCAGTAGATGATGACATCACTGGCATTACAACCTGTGATGTACTAGAAGTTAGCTGTTGTTGCTGTTGTCTACGCGTCGGTGACCTCTTGTTGGGCGGTGATTGTTGCTGTTGTTGTTGTCCAGTGGACGACAACGACGCGACACTATCGGGTTCAACCAATCGCATGGGCATCGGTACCGATGACTGGACTGTCCTATCGTTGACTAACTGGGAACTGTCCGATACATCGAATCCTCCCGAAACCATTGGATTGATTTTAGTTCCCGAATCGCCTCTCAGTTGCGGTCCAACCCATGATGACTGGTGTGAACCTAACTGTGATCCACTGGCGCTCAAACCATCCACTGATTGAATATCACTGCCTGAAGATTCAGCAAATAATCCGTAACTGTTTTGTTGTTTTGGTTTTTTGCTGCCAACCAATCGATATTTGCCGCCAACTTTGTTTGGTTGTTGTTGGTGTTGTCCATCGCCGCTATTATTACCGCAACAATACTTACACAACAGCCAAGTAATACACAATAAGATGAATATAATGGTAAACAAACCGATAGACAATATAAATAGCAAATCCATGGACTGTTGATAATTATCATCATTATTGTCGTCACCTGTCGTCGTCGGATCAGTCGATGGATTCATAGTTTTTTTTAATTTTTGTTGGTTTTATTTTTTTTAAAAAACAATTTTTAAAACCGAAATATAAAAGATATAATATTTATAATTATAGTAAGATTTAAACGGTTAGCTATTATCCGAAAAAAATTAATTATTATTTGTATTTTTTTTGTTATTGAAATACTGTGCGCTCGTAATGATAATAATGATATGAATATAATTATGATTTTATATTAAATAATTAAATTATTGATAAATTCATGATATTTTTTGTTGTTGTAATTGTTGTTATATATATATAGTATATTGGTACTGTATATTAAATTTAATTTATTGTATGCATAAAGTTTAGTCACAATTTTTTTTTTTTTTTAAATATATATATATAATTCAATTAAATAACTTTCTATATATTGTTGTTTTTGTTGTTATGTAAAAATTTACAATATTTATTAATTAATTATAGATATAATTCAAATAATGACTATTGTTAAGCATATATATATATATATATATACAGCAACAAAAAATATTACATTAAATTATTACATTAGTTATTTGCTAAACAATTACATTGAAATTTTATTATACTATTTATTTTTTTGAAAATATTAATAATTTAGTATTACATATATAGATATCAAAAATAATATTTTATTTTATATTACATGAATAAAATTATTTACTATTTTAAAAAATAATAATTGACATTATAAAACAATAAAACAATATAGATAATTATTGTTAATATAAAAAAATACCCTGTTAAATTATTAGTGATATATATATATATATATTTATTTATAACTTATGTTATCTCATAATACAGTAATACCTACATTGATAGTAGTAGTAGTAGTAGTTTATTGTTTTTTTTTAATTATTGATATTGAAAACTATTGTTTAATGTGATAATAACTATATTGTAAAAAATTGCTAATAATGTGATAATAACCATGGTAAAATTTTTTTATTAATAACAAATAAAAAATTATATTGAAGGCAGTTTATTATTTTCATTAATTTGTTTATACATTTTTATATAGTGTATACAAAAAAAAAATAAATATTATATTATTTTATAATTAATAATCTGTTTAAAAAATAAATAAATAAATGCTATGTTTTGCTAATTAAAATTTCTATTGTTTTATTAATAACGACAACAACAACAACAAAAAATACCAAATAATATATTAAATTAAAAATCTATACATTGGATGATATACTTGTTATAATAATGTTTAATAAACTGTAAAACTAATTACATTTAATAATATATATTTTCCTAAAAAAAAAACTGTATTTGAATACTATTTATGTATTCAACAACAAAAAAACTAGAAATATTTTTAAAATAAAATGTGAATCAATAGATAATTAATTAATTAAAAAAAAAACTAATAATATTTAATATATATTTGTGTGTGATTTTTGACAAAAAAAACTAAAACTAAAAAAAAACTAATGGCTATTATTAGACCAATGATTAAAAAAAGTCTATTAATAACTAATCATCGCTTCCGTAGACAAACTAAATACTGTTTGATCGGTCTATTGATAACATGTTTGACCATTAATTTTATAATGAATTTCTGGTGGTTTTTCGATTGTCAGTACTGTTGGGGACACGAATGTTGGATCAGTGTATGCGCTGACTATCCGTACCATTGTTTTGATCGATGCTATCCCATGGATCTGATCGATGACCAAGAAATCCAGTTTCAATTTAACAATAGTTATGATAATAATAATAATAATAATAGTAATCATCAATCAATCAATAATTATTATTACAAAACTAATATCTATTGGCAATCGGTTAACATTAGTAATTCATACCATGAGATATATCTGGGATCAGCTTTTCTAGTCAACCGATATAAAACCGATACCATCACCGATGATAATGTTTACGAAATATTAGCAAAATTATATATATTTGATAATTATCGACAATATTATCTGAAATCAATTGAATGTTTATTTTCTAATACTAGTGATAATACTATTTTTAGTAAAAATGTTCAAAAAAATTCAATTCAATTGAAAAGTACAGCAAAAGTCATACAAACGGGTGACTATATCGACGAAAATGATTCATCGAGAATCCAATGTCGACTAAATAACCGAATTTCGGCCAAATATGTGTCTATTGTCGACAAACTTACTGATAAAATCCTCGGCCAACCTATTGTTATCAATAATAATAATAATAACTATCAAACATATAGTCAACAACACCTATCGGCTGATCCATTAGTGACGACAACCATCAGCAGCAGCAGTCAATCGCCGCCGGCTATTGTTGTCTGTGTCCGTCCATTGTTTAATTCATACGATTCAATCCGGTCGCTGATTGAATTCATTGGTTATTATCGGTCAAACGGTGCCGACAAAATTGCCATTTATGTTGATCGGGCATCCGATCGGGTAATGAATCTATTGGCAGAAATGTCATCGTTTGTAGATCTAATTCATTGGCATACAGTAGTAGACGACGACAGCGCCGACGGTGATGGTAGTGGTGGTGGTAGTGGTCGACATGTTTTAGGTAACGGTACCATCAATCAGGTGTTGATGTCCGACGACTGCTATCATCGATATCCGTCAATGATCTTAATCTATGTAGACATCGATGAATTTATGGTACCATTCGGTAGTGGTCATCATCATCGGCGGCGGCAATCGTTACGCGAATATATATTAGACGAGTATTTCGGTGACCCGAAGTTGGCCGCTATAGGCGTTAGTAATGTATTTTTTTGTTGCGAATTCAATCAGAAATATTTGAAAAAATTTCCCCGAATTTTCCATCATTTCCGACGCGAATCAAATGTCTGGTCAAACGGTTTTCGTACGAAATTTATTGTTTTGCGGCCAAACTTAGTGGACGTGGTTTACGTACATTCGCTAACATTGGACAGACAACTGGCCAACGATTCGTACTTCAAATATGCCGACACCAATGATATACTAATGTTTCACTACCGGAGCTGTTGTTCCCAAATGACTGGTCGGACACCCCTATGGAATGGTATACTATCTGTTCGTATACTTACCGATAATACTGAAATCGATACCAGAATTATGCGATTTAGTCGTGAAATTAATCAATTTATTAAACAATATTTAATTATTTAATAATCATTGTAATTGTAATAATAATAATAAATAATTACAAATAATGTAAATTTTAAAAGAAAATATTTAATACTAATCATTAATTAGTAATTAAATTGTGAATTAATAAATTGAATTAATGGTTAATCGGAAATTAATTATTTGTTATATAAAAAAATGTTTAAATAATTTAAATAATGGTTAATAAATAATTTAATTTGTAATTTAATATATATATATATATAACAACATATATAACAATTAAAAGAAAAAATAATTGCATGAATTTAACAACAATTTAATTATTAAATAAAACCTAATTATTATTATTATTGCTATTTATCATTAATAATGATTATTATCATTATGTGAACAATATTTTAAAAGAAAACAAATAATAATTTATTTCACTGATAAAAACTAACCGTTAAATCTTACTATAATTACAAATATTATATATTTTATATTTTGGTTTAAAAAAATTGTTTTTAAAAAACCCAACAAAAATAAAAAACTATGAATCCATTGACTGATCCGACGACGACAGGTGACGACAACAATAATGATGATAATCAACAGTCCATGGATTTACTATTTATACTGTCTATCGGTTTGTTAGCCATTATACTAATACTAATGTGTATTATTTGGCTGTTGTGTAAGTATTGTTGCGGTAATAATAGCGGCGATGGACAACACCAACAACAACAACAACCAAACAAAGTTGGCGGCAAATATCGATTGGTTGGCAGCAAAAAACCACAACAAAACAGTCAAGGATTATCTGCTGAATCTTCAGGCAGTGATCTTCAATCGATGGATGGTTTGAGCGCCGGTGGATCACAGTTAGGATCACACCAGTCATCATGGGTTGGACCGCAACTGAGAGGCGATTCGGGAACTAAAATCAATCCAATGGTTTCGGGAGGATTCGATGTATCGGACAGTTCCCAGTTAGTCAACGATAGGACTGTCCATTCATCGGTACCGATGCCCATGAGATTGATTGAACCCGATAGTGTCGGGTCGTTGTCGTCCACTGGACAACAACAACAACAACAATCACCGCCAAACAAGAGGTCACCGACCCGTAGACAACAACAACAGCTAACTTCTAGTACATCACAGGTGGCGATGTCATCATCTACTGGACAACAGCAACAACAACAGCGGACTAACACCACATCACAGATAAATCCTATGGTTTCGGGAGGTTTTGATGTGTCCTCAACACCATTAGCAACCAGTGAGGCCAACAAAAGTAGGTCACCGCCAAAGTCCAGATCACCGACAAAGAAGTGAAACACAAATTTATTTATTATTTATTTAATTTTTTTGGAGATATATTTGTTTTTTATTAATTACTGATAATTATAAACACAAAATAAATTACATTTTATTTTTTGGTTTTGCATTAATCTTAATGATCGGACACTTACTGTATATTATAAGTTATATTAAAAGTTTATACAATACTGTATATACTGTATATAGATATCTATTATAATATGTATAATATCAGTGATTTATTTAGAAATAAAAACATATAATTATTAATATAATATTACTATTATCTATGGAAACCCTTAACTAACCTTAAAATCTTTAATAATAAAATATCTAAATAACTTTAATTAAATGGGTTTTTAATTATTAATAATTAATAGTATTAATAATAATAATAATACTGTAATAATTAATAGTATTAATAAAAATAAAAATAAAAATAAAAATAAAAATAAAAATAAAAATAAAAATAAAAATAAAAATAAAAATAAAAATAAAAATAAAAATAAAAATAAAAATAAAAATAATAATAATAATAATAAACGTTATATATACTATATTTATAAATTAAATAGCAAAAAAAAGTGCTGTCCATATATAGCATTTTTTAAAAATTCAATCTCATTTATCCGATTAATCCAGGCAAATTAAAATACAACATTTGATTTCAAAAAAAATGATTTAATTTATTTTATTGTTTTTTTTTAAAAAAATAACACATATAAAAATATATAAATATAATATTAATTATTATTATTATTATTTAATTTTACAAATTTATAAGATTCAATTAAAATAGTCAGTAAATACACATTTAGTAGTATATAGGAAAATATATTGCATTTTATTTGACGTATTTTAAATATGGCTTTATTATATAATTATATATATATAATAATAATAATAATAATAATAATAATAATAATAATAATAATAATAATAATAATAATAATAATAATAATAATTATATAAATTGACAAAAAACAAAAAAAAAGTATACAAAATATATAATAGTATTGATGAGTGAAAATTGTTAATTGACTTAATATACATTCAACAAAATAAAAAATGTATAATTGATTATCAAATAAAAAAATAATGAGAAAATAACAACAAATAATTTTTTTTTTGAATGAATGAATGAACCAATCAATAGGGGGTGGGGTGTGTGTGTGTGGAGGAGGTTGGGTGAGGCGGGTGGGTAAAGGTACATGTATGGGGGACTAACGGGGTAGTATAACATTTTCACACCAGTCCCTATCCGATGGTTTCAGTATCCAATCGACAACATGTATGACACCATTGCTGGCCGGTATGTCCGCCCTGTATAACGGCGATACATTGGCCTCAACTAGACGTCCTAATAGAGAAAAAATAATATAAAATATTGTTTTTTAAATTTATAATTCAAATAATAAAACAAATAAATTACTTACGTCTACAACCATCAACACGTATACCCACTTGAATATATTGGCCATCAATTAGTGAGGGTATAAATTGGCCATCTTTTAGGTCATTACTATAATGAGCTCCATGTGCCACATGATATTTGAGAAACTCTAGATATAATATATATATATAGGTATATATAGTAAATAAATAATAATTTTAAATAATTAATTAAATAAAAGCTAAATTGGTTACTATATAAATAAATATATATAAATAGTAAATAAATAGTATTTTTTAAAAAAATAATTAATTAAATATAAATCGGTTACTATATAAATATAATTTTAAATTTTTTTTAAAGATTTATAATTATGTTATGCATTGTCTAACTTATTGATAAATTTTTTTTGGATTAATCCTAAATTTTTTTTCCTCAATATATGATTGTATTCATAATTTATGATTATAATTATTAACACAAAAACATATATATATATATATATATACAATCATAATGTGTGATAATCTCTCACTAAAAATAATATATTAGATAAATATTTAGATAACAAACAAACAATTTATTTATTTTTTTTTTGAGTGAATCTCACCAAATAATAATAAATAAATCAATTTTGTTGTATTAGCCAAAAATAGTACACAATTATTATTATTATATGTGTTATTATGTGCCAAAAAAGTGATGTTTATTTTATGTGTGTGTATATTATGGATATTATTAGTATATATATATATATATATAATTTTTTTTGATTTCAGAAAAATAGTAGACAAATATTTGTGTGATGTATTTATTTCAGAAAAATAATAAAATTATTTATATATATATATATATATATAAAATAGCGTATAAATAGGTCTTTCACTCAATTAGTTATTTCAATCAAATGTTAAGTTTAATTAGCAGTTTTTTTAGGTATGTTTTTTTTGTCAATAGATATCCAAATATTTAATAATAATTAATTTTGTTATATAAGTAAATATAAAAATTAGTTTTAATAAGTTGTTTGTTTGCTCTCTCTCTCTCTCTCTCTCTCTCTCTCTCTCTCTCTCTCTCTCTCTGACACTACAATTATATTATATTTTTTTTTAAAAAAGGTTTAAAAATAAATTGTCAAATATTATGATATATACTATTAATATTAACTGAAAGAGAGAGAGAGAGAGAGAGAGAGAGACTCTAAAATAAAACAATAGTTTGTAATAATAATAGTTAAAACAAATAGACATATCTATTCAAACAAACAAACAAATAAAACAAACACATAGTTATTAGTAGTAGTAGTAGTAGTTGTTTGAGATAAAGATATTACTATTAAAAATAATACTAAAAAATATTTTTTTTTTGAAATTTTGATTTATATCTGACTTTTTTTTTGTGTATATCTCAGTTGAGCCGCAAATTACTATTTGAAAAATACATATCAAAACTGATATGTTATGCTAAACACAAGTTCATTGCAACAAAAAAAAATTGAATAATACTTTTATATATATATATATATATACGGTTTATAAGACACAAAAAAATTATTTTTAGTATATTTATTACACATTTTTCAATATAAGTGCAAATAAGACAACATAACAATAAAAACAAAACAAAACACAAAAAAAATCTTATTATAAACATATTGAGAGAAAGAGAGAGAGAGAGAGAGAGAGAGAGAGAGAGAGAGAGAGAGAGAGAGAGAGAGAGAGAGAGAGAGAGGCATATATATATATATATAATAATAATAATAATACTATTTAATACAATAGGGATAGACCTATCAACCTATCATCCCTGTCCCTCACACTCACACATACTCATCATAATAGCTTTTTAAACAACTCGTTGCTAACTATAGATAGATATTATATGTCATATTTTTATGATGATAATGTTGTATAACCTCTTAAATACCTACCACTGTATTATATAGACTACTACTATACCCCCTAATATAGCTAACTGTGTGTACATGTGATAGCACACACACACACACACACACACACAAACATACATACACTTAACGTATAGATTATGTAATACTTATTTAACAGTTTTTTTTGTGTTTGACAATTAGGTTACACACATAGCAATGAAAATTATTTTTATTTTTTCAAAAAAAAAAAAATATCTTAATCTGTGATTACTTTAAATATTTTTTTAAAAATATATTATTGTCTGTGTCTATGTGTGTGTGTTTTGATGATTTAAATACAATGTAAATAATAATAATAATAATAATAATAATTTTTTTCAAATAAAAAACTAATAGTTATTTGTTAAAAGATTAGACTAGAAAAGTGCATTTAAATTACACACAAAACATTAGTAAACTTTATATATATATATATATATATATATATATATATATAGAAACTCATCGGGAATTATAAACTTTGAATTTATATATATTATATTATATATATATATATATATATATATATATATATTAAGTACTGTATAATAAAATATTTATAATATTGTATGACTAAATATATATATTATTTTAGTAGTTATAAAATTTAATGTACAAAAAATAATCTTAAAAAGTTAAAATAATAGTAACTATTCATTCAACTATTAAAAACAGCATTTGTATTATTATTATTATTATTATTTAGTTATTAGTATACGATTAACATTGAAAATCATAAAAACTACACACAAAAAAATGTATTTGATTGAGTAGTTTACAACACACACACAACAAAAAATACAAGTAAAAGATTTTAACTTAAAATTATATGCTTTTAAACAAATTTTTTTATTCATACATACACTCATAGATTATATTATTATAAATAATATATGAATATTATTACTACACTATAAAACTGAGATAATGCCTAAAAGTTTTTTTTTAGATTGTAGTTTAAAAATAATAAAATTATTTGTAAGCAACAAAAATAATAATAATGTTGTCTTTGTTTTGGACAGTTATGTGTTAATCAATGAGTGAGTTAGTGTGTATATGTATGAGTGTTTATGTGTGTATATGTGTGTATATGTGTGTATATGTGTATGTGTGTGTGTGTGTGTGTGTGTGTGTGTGTGTATGTATATATGAGTGTATGTGTATGTATGTATCTGTGTGTATGTATGTATGTTTATGTGTGTATGTATGTGTGTATATATATGTGTGTATATGTATATGTCTATATGTATGTGTCTATATGTATGTGTCTATATGTATGTATATATGTATGTATGTGTGTATGTATGTATGTGTATGAGATCACTAACCTCTGAGGGCAGTCATATTATTTCTGATAATATCGAGATCACCGTCCGGTACCTTCTGGAGGGCCTCATTGCTGGGCACAAACACAGTATACGGTCCATCTATTAATAAAGGTATTCATACAAAATGATAATATAATAATAATAAATCAAAAATTTTATACACACAAAAAAAATAATGTGATAATGATATTCAAAACTAAAATTAGATTTTTTTTTTGGTGAATATAATAGATAAGATTCATAAAAAAATTTAATATAAGGAAAACTTATGTGTTTTTTTTTGTATTAAAAATATATAAATAATAGTACAGTAAAAACATTTATTACTACCAAATAAAAAAAACAAATTAATATAATATAGTAATCA